TTTATTTTTTTGAGATAGAATTTCACTCTTGTCGCCCAAGCTGGAGTGCAATGGCATGATCTCAGCTCATTGCAACCTCTACCTCCTGGGTTTAAGTGATTCTCCTGCCTCAGCCTCCCAAGAAGCTGGGATTACAGGCACCTGTCACCACACCCTGCTAATTTTTGTATTTTTCACAGAAATGGGGTTTCACCATGTTGGCCAGGCTGGTCTCGAACTCCTGACCTCAGGTGATCTGCCTGCCTTGGCCTCCCAAAGTGCTAGGAATACAGGCGTGAGCCATCATGCTCGGCCTGGCTTAATTCCTTTAGCATAATGTTCTCAAGGTTCATCTGTGTTGTAGCATGTGTCAGGAGTTCATTTCTTTTTCCAGCTAAATAATACTCCACAAATAAGTAAATGTGTACTATATTATGCTTATTCATTGATCCACAGTGGATATTTAGGGTGTATCTACATTTTAGCTATTGTGAATAATGCTTCTGTGAACATGAGTGTACAGATATCTCTTCAAGAGCCTGCTTTTAATTCCTTGGGGTATACACCCAGAAGTGGAATTGCTGGATCATACAGTAATTCCATTTTTAGTGTTTTAAGAAACTGCCATACTATTTTTTTTTTTTTTGAGACAGACTTTCACTCTGTCACCAGGCTAGAGTGCAGTGGTGTCATCTTGCCTCACTGCAACCTCTGTCTACCAGGTTCCAGCAATTCTCCTGCCTCAGCCTCCCGAGTAGCTGGGACTATAGGCATGCACCACCATGCCTAGCTAATTTTTGTATTTTTTAGTAGAGATGGGGTAGCCATGTTGGCCAGGCTGGTCTCAATATCCTGACCTTGTAATCCGCCCGCTTCGGCCTCCCAAAGTGCTGGGATTACAGGTGTGAGCTGCTGCACCCAGCCCATACTATTTTTTAATGGTGGCCATACCATTTTACAATCCCACCAACAGTGCACAAGGGTTCTGATTTTTCTACATCCTTTCCAACAATTGTTATTTTCTGTTTCATTTGTTATTTTTTTATGGTAGCTGTCCTAATATGTGTGAGGTAGTATCTCACTGTGGTTTTTATTTGCATTTTCCTGAAGATTAATGTTAAGCATGTTTTCATATGCAAATTGGCCATTTGTATGTCTTTTTTGGAGAACTGTCTATTCAACTGCTTTGCCCATTTTTGAATTGGATTGTTTGGTTTTTGTTGTTGTTTTTAGAAGTTCCCCATATATGCTAGATGTTAATCCTTTATCAGATATATGATTTGCAAGCATTTTCTCCATTCCATGGGTTATCTTTTACTCTGTTTAGTGTCTTTTGATGCACAAAATGTTTAAATTTTCATAAAGTTCAGTTTGTCTATTTTTTCTTTTGTTGCCTGCACTTTTCGTGTTATATCCAAGAAATCATCATCAAATTGAACGTTGTGAAGATTTTGTCCAATGTTTTCTTTCTTTCTTTCTTCCTCCTTTCTTTCTCTCTCTCTCTCTTTCTTTCTTTCTTTCCTTTTTTTATTGAGACACAGTTTCGCTCTTATTGCCCAGGCTGGAATGCATGATTTTGGTTCACGGAAACCTCCACCTCCTGGGTTCAAGTGATTCTACTGCCTGGGTCTCCCGAGTAGCTAAGATTACAAGCACACACCACCACGCCCCGCTAATTTTTTGTACTTTTAGTAGAAACAGGGTTTCTCCATGTTGGTCAGGCTGGTCTTGAACTCCCAACCTCAGGTGATCAGCCCACATCAGCCTCCCAAAGTGCTAGGATTACAGGTGTGAGCCACTGTGCCCAGCCTTGTCAAATGTTTTCTTGCAAGAGTTTTATAGTTCATTCATATTATTCCTTTCAATTTATTTCTAGAGCTTTATTTTTCCAGATAAAGTCTTCAGCCTAAACATGTCCTAGGTAAAATACACACAGATAAATTACCCATTGACAAAACCCAAAGATGATTCATGTGTGCACGCACACACACGTTTTAGGATATCACTTGCCACTAGAAATAGAAAAAGCTTTTAATAGCAGTACAGAAATAATGCTTCTGTGAACATGGGTGTACAAAGCTCTCTCTATATAGTCTCTCTATAAAATATATATGTGTATATGTACACACATACACACACACGCGCACGCGCACACACACACACACACACACACACACTCTAGATAGAACAGGCTAAACTGCTAAGAAAACCAAAAAATATATAGCAGTTCAAACAAAAAAAAGATGATTTCTTGCTTAACATCCAAAATGAATATATCCAACTGACAGCAGGCTTTCTTCAACGTGATGCTTCAGAGACCCATGCTCCTTCCTTCTTGTGCTTTTTTTTTTTTTTTTTTTTTGACACAGGGTCTCACTATGTTACCCAGGATGGACTTGAACTCCTGGGCTCAAACAATCCTCCCACCTCAGCCTCCCTAGCAGCTAGGAAATTTTTATGCCATCTTTAACACATGGCTTCCAAGGCTGCCATGTCCCTTTGTGCCAAGCTGGTGAGAGGGGATGGAGGAGCCACACTTGCTTGCTTTTTTTTTTGGAGATGGAGTCTTGCATTGTTGCCCAGGCTGGAGTGCAATGGCATTATCTTGGCTCACTGCAACTTCCTCTTCCCGGGTTCAAGTGATTCTCCTTCCTCAGCCTCCTGAGTAGCTGAGATTACAGGCACCCACCACCATGCCCAGCTAATTTCTTTGTATTTTTGGTAGAGGTGGGGTTTCACTACATTGCCTAGGCTGGTCTTGAACTCCTGACCTCATAATCTGCCCTCTTTGACTTCCCAAAGTGCTGGGATTACAGGAGTGAGCCACTGCGTCCAGCCCCATACCTGCTTCTTAACCACCTTATTTTGGAAGTAGCACATATAGCTTCTACTCTTAAGTCTGGCAATAACTAGTCACCTGGTCATTCCAAGATGCAAGGCAGCTGGGAAATGCAGCCCCTGCTAGCGCAGCTGCCTTCCAGTGACTGTTCTATGTCTGCACTGTCCAACAGGGTAGCCATCATGTGGCTATTGGGCACTTGGAATTTGGCTCATCCAAGTTGAGATGGACTGTTGTAAAACACACACCAGAATTTAAAGACTTAGCATAAAAATAAGAATGTAAACATCTCGCTGATAATTTTTATATTGATTACATATTGAAACAGCAATATTACATATATATAGGGTTAAATAAAATATATTTAAAAGATTGATTTCACCTGTTTTTAAAAATATTCTTAATGTAGCTACCAGAAAATTTTAAATTACACATGTGTCTTGCATTCTATTCCTACTGGATACTATTATAGAAATTAGCTTTCTCTGTTACACAGATTATCTATCTTAATAGAATCAGGATAGATAATACATATGGGCCACACGCAGAACTACAAGGAGAAATTGGAAAGGTCTTTGAAATCAAAATGAGTCCACTCTCTTTTTCTTTCTTCCTCCCTCTGCCACTGAAGCTGCATGGTCACTGGTCTTTATCTGACTACCTACTGGTTTGTCCATTTTTCCTTTCTCTGCCTGTATGTGTGTCTCTCTCTCTTCCTTTATCTCTTTCATCTCTGTTGCAATCCACTGTGTCCAGGAAGATGGGGTCATGTGGCTTGCTGCCCATTCACCAATGGGAACAGGTTCTCAGGAATAGGGCACAGCTAGGTCAGACAAACTGATTGACATGTTTGCTTAGCATATAAAATGTGTAAACACTATGTGGGCTTGGCAGCTGTCAACATTCCCCAGTTTTTGCACTTAACAGACTATATTTGCTTTGAGGCCTTTTTTAAGTACTCTGTGTTGAATAGGTGACACATCTAATCTGAGAGTATATTATTTAATTCATGTCATCACTAAAGAAAACATGTAACTAATCTTTTACTGGGGCTTGTACCAGTGCCCAGAAATAGTCAGCATCACTGACAAGCCTCGAATTTCCAACAGCGTACCTTGAACTCAATGCATATTCATATTATAACAGATTTCACCCATTAGAGCAGGCTCACCATATGCATCAATTATATGAGGGTATAAACTTAATAAATGGGTGACATACTCCCAAATATAACTTTCCTGTAGGTCTGGAACTTTGAAATTTTAGCGTCGTTTTCTGTAGTTTAAGAAATGTATCCAAGCAATAGCAAAGACCTGGAACCAACCCAAATGCCCATCGACGATAGACTGGATAGGGAAAATGTGGCACATATACACCATGGAATATTATGCAGCCATCAAAAACGATGAGTTTGTGTCCTTTGTAGGGACATGGATGAACCTGGAAACCATCATTCTCGGCAAACTGACAGAAGAGCAGAAGATCAAACACCGCATGTTCTCACTCATAGGCGGGTGTTGAACAATGAGAACACATGGACACGGGGAGGGGAGCACTACACACTAGGGTCAGTTGGGGGGAAATAGGGGAGGGACGGTGGGGGGTGGGAAGCTGGGGAGAGATAGCAAGGGGAGAAATGCCAGATGTAGGTGATGGGGAGGAAGGCAGCAAATCACACTGCCACGTGTGTTCCTATGCAACAATTTTGCATGTTCTTCACATGTACCCCAAAACCTAAAATGCAATAAAATAAATGGGGAAAAAAAAAAGAAATGTATCCAAGCAGCCCCTGTTAAAACATATATATGTGACCTAGAGACATTATTAGATTACCAGATGCATTTACATCATCAGCAAGTATTTTTGTGCTAGACATCATCCTAAATCTATTCTCATCATTAACAATTTATCAGAAATAGATTTTTTGAATATTAGCTTTCCCCAGATAAAAAATGGGGCCCATAAAAAATGGAATGACAAGTAGTAACTTTTGTTGAAAGACAGGATTTGATTCACTTCAGAATATGCCATGAGAAATGAGCTTTAGTGGGATGCTGCAGAGGAGCTCCAAATAGCTCAGGTGTGGACTAGGACCCTGGGCATTTGGGAGGGAAGGGAGGTAGGAGATGGTACAGAAAGGGGAGGCAGTGGTGGTCCCAAAAACGCTTTTTGCCTACTTTACCATTCTGATGGAACTTGAGCTTTGACAATGATATTCTTCTTTGCTGCTCCGTTTCATGGCCCTGCTTTGGGACTATGATCTTCAAAGTCAGCAGGAGTCTTCTAAGTTCCTCAGGGTCTTTTGGGCTGGTCTCAATAAAGGGATGACCTTCCATAAATGAGCTAATGAATAGCAAAGGGACATAATTCAATCAATTATTATTGCATTATTTTATAACCACATATATGCACTAAAAGACTATTTAAAACATTAAGACATTTCTTAACATCCATAAATCTGTAATAAAATTTGAACTTATTTTTAAAACTTGGGTTTAGCATTTCACTGAATTTCATTAATTTTTCCTCCCTAATAGCCTGAGTATTCTGTTTAAGGTAACATCATTTGGTTCATATTATCGATAGGTATATATATATATTTCTTTCATATATATTAATATATATTATTAAGCTCATATTGAGCAGGAAGGGAAATGGCTAGGAAATTTCAAGAAATAAAATTGTGTCATAGTGTATATGGATTAAATTTATAGGAAACTTTATTCTACCTTTTACTCAGAAAAATTTTATAGGTCAATAAGACATCAAAGGTTTTTTAAAAGTTGACTAATGGATTAAAAGAAAGATTATAGGTTTTTACAACTCTTTGTGGTTCATAATAAAAATTAAAAACCATTTAATAGGGTTCAAATTTAAGATGTTTAAGGTGAAAAAAACTAAAAAAAGCATTTTATAAAAATTTTATTGCAAAAAATTATGACTAATGCAAAAAATTAATGAATGCAGAAAATTATGACTAATTTTATTTTGGCTTAAACACTGATACAATATTTATAGAAAAATTATAATTTTCTTAGTGTTTATTATTATTATTATTTTTTGAGACAGAGTCTTGCTCTGTCACCCAGGCTGGAGTGCAGTGGCTCAGTCTCGGCTTACTGCAAGTTCCACCTCTCAGGTCCAAGCGATTCTCCTGCCTCAGCCTCAGGCGGAGCTCAGACTACTGGCCAGTGCCACCACGCCCGGCAATTTTTTTTTTTTTTTTGTATTTTTTGTATTTTTAGTAGAGACAGGGTTTCACCGTGTTAGCCAGGATGGCCTTGATCTCCTAACCGCATGATCCACCTGCCTTGGCCTCCTAAAGTGCTGGGATTACAGGCATGAGCTACCGCACCCAGCCAATTTTCTTAGCTTTTAACAATATTCACTTATATATTGTGTTAAGATATCCTCAGACAAAAAAAGAATACCTATGTGAGCAACTGCAAAAATGAAAGGGTTTGGGGAAATTTCTTTAGCCAATTTCCTTAATATAACGACTTGGATAATATGTAAGAGTGGCTAGGATCTTTAAATAAGAGGTCAAGAGTTAAGACAGAGCACACCAAGAGGACTATTTGCTTATTAAACTAAAAGGGAGAATAAAAAAGGAATGTTACTAAGGTAGGAAACAGGCAAATCTATAGACCTCTGAGGAGTTGGTTTCTGTAAATACGGGCCTCTTTCCCAGTAAACTGTCATTTCCTACCTGTGCTGTTTAGCTTAATAGTAGAATTTTACCATAATCGAAAGTTAAGTAAGGCTTACTAAAATTCTTGAGTGTTTTGTTTTGGTGAATTCCATCGTGACTACGACGCCGATTTGTGGGAGTCTGACATAAATGATACATAATGTTGGAAAATTGAGTTTAAAATACACTTCTCTTTTATATTCTCATTCCCATAATGGAACAGAAAATTGAGCCTAATGCTGCTTTGTTACTGACACTTCAAAAAAGATCTGATTAGTTTCTCTGACAAAGCAGTAAATCTTTAAATTAAAGAGTTCAGGAGTGCTGAGCCCCATAAATTCCCTAAGGAAATTTAAATAGGAGTAAGTTTTAAACACATCCTTCCTGGTGCTTCCCATGAGGCAGCCAGTGCTGTCCCCTGCCATCAAACATCAATATATCTTGAATATAGATGATTCAATCACAGGCATGTAATATTAATAAAATAAAATTCCATGATGTTAAGGAATTAGAAGTCAATCTCCAGAATGCTGGAGAATGAGACAGAAAAGATGTCAACAAATACAAAAGGTCACGCTCTTCTATAACAATAAAAAAAGTTTTTTTTTTTTTTTTTTTTTTGAGACGGAGTTTCACTCTTGTTACCCAGGCTGGAGTGTAATGGTGCGATCTCGGCTCACCGCAACCTCCGCCTCCTGGGTTCAGGCAATTCTCCTGCCTCAGCATCCCGAGTAGCTGGGATTACAGGCACGCGCCACTATGCCCAGCTAATGTTTTGTATTTTTAATAGAGACGGGGTTTCACCATGTTGACCAGGATGGTCTCGATCTCTTGACCTCATGATCCACCCACCTCGGCCTCCCAAAGTGCTGGGATTACAGGCTTGAGCCACCGTGCCCGGCAGAAAAACAGTATTTTTTTAAAACAATACTATACTGTTCAGCAGTACTGTTGTTTTTAAAACAACAGTATTATGAAAGACTATGGCTTATTTTAAGTGTTTTACATGGACTGGATTTTTAATTGTTTCATCAACTCTATGTGGTTGATGCTATTATTCCCATCGTACAGATGAGAGAACAGAGGCATAAACAGATTGAGTAACTTCCTAAGACTATACTGCAGGAGGTTATCTATAACAAAAGCTGTGGTTGTGCCAGCTATATTCCCTTGGCCTTATTAATATAATGCACACCGGAATCTCACATCTACCTGCCAGGGCCTGTGGAAGTCTATTTTGCGTTGTGCAAGGCAGACCCCAAAATCCAGAACTAGAATCGGTACCTACCCTCTTCCAGGATCCCTCAACCAAGGACTCATGTGATTTAGTGTATAATATCCAGTTCCCTCACCCCTCAAGTAGGAAACTCCGAGGTACATGTTCTGTATCGGCTACCAAGAGTTCCCAAACAAGATTAAACTCTAGCTATCCACAGTCATAACTCACTTGAAAATTCATCATTTATTGTCTGTCTTCTCTCTCCTTTCCTACTTCATCAGTTTCCATCAGTGATTCCCAAGATCACCTTCCAAATAAACTATTTTCACTCATATCCATGTCTTAGGGTCTGTTTCTGGGAACCCAAATTAAAAAAGACCACTATTCAGGATTAGAACCCAAACAGCCTGGCTATAGAATCTATAAGATTAATCACAATATACTGCCCATTCTCAAAAAGTTGATACATATTTTGTAAAGATTGTCTCAAGTCATGATAGAAGGAAAAATCATTCCATGTTTTACATTCCAACTTCCTGTTGAGAATTGTGAAGGGCCTAAGATTTTATTTTTTGCCAGCTAACAAATTAGCCTGCCACAGAGTATGATAATGATCATTAGAAGACACGAGACTCCTGGGGCAGAGGCAAGAGGCTTTATTCCCTACAGCAAGAGAAGTAGACAGAGTATCAGCCTTTTCACCAGTACCCCAAGGCCCACTTACCACGGGGCAACAGAGACAAGCCCAGTCAGAGAGCTCCACATAAAATTGATTGTGTTATAGTAGAGAAACCCAAAAGTTAGGGAACCCTAATCTTTTATATGGAATAGTAAGCATGCCTGCTGTTTGCCCCATAAAGAGACATTTTCTCTCTTTCAAGGTTGTTATATAAAAATCCTTGGAAAAATAGTCTGTAATAAAAGAAATCAGTGCCTCACTTGCAAGATATGCAAGAGATCAATGGAAAATTATCTTCCAGCACTTCCATATTCTGAAATCAAGAAAGATGTTTCTAGTTTTATCACACACTAAAAACATATAATTATGCTAATAGAAAATGGCAAAAACAAACAAAGGGTAATTTTTTTAAAAATGTTGATGACATTGTTCTTTTCTGTCTTTGCTTTTTTGTTTTCAAAGCGTAAATACATTTTGATTTGATACCCATGTCAGGTTAGTATTTTATAGCTGATGGAAAACTGACTCAAAAGATGAGGTGTTTCACTGAAACTCGTCTAGTGAGTGATGGGGCTGAAACTTAAACCCAAAACTTCTAACTTCAAAGCTGCCAGACACTAGCCTAATGGTTCTAGAATCGATGGACAGCTGCCTAGAACTTAAAACTTAAAAGGAGACTTAGTGGTTCTCTTCATTTCTTCAATGCTGCCACACGTACACATCAGGATTTCAAAAATAACACTGAAGACAAATCTGGGGGAAAAGGGATAGATGTAAGTGGAGGAAAGGACATAAATGTTCTTTTTCTTTTTTAATGTTCAACTCTCCTTTCTTCTGTTCATGTTTTTTTAAGGTGGGTTGCACCATGTAAATCAGAAAAGCCATAGGTTTAGAAGTGAGCTGTGAAACAATTTCCAGAATTACAGCATTTTCACTCAAATGGCCGGAATATATATGTATTAAGTATTTCAGAATGTCTTGCCTTTTTCCTATCAGGGAAATCTGCACAATTCGAGTTCATTCAAAAGAGCAAGCTAATGTTACACTTTTGGACATACTATTCAGAGCATTAGGATGTCCCTGTTTACAACATATATGATATCGGAAAAAAAAAAAAAGGAAAGAGATGAAATTCTACTATATCAAATTATAGCTGAAGTGCAGTATGGAAATTTGTTACTTATAGGGATCCTACAGTGAATCTGTTTTGTAAAAAACAGCTGTACAGGGCAGTCACAGTGGCTCACGCCTGTAACCCCAGCACTTTGGGAGGCTGAGGCAGGCGGGTCACGAGGTCAAGAGTTCAAGAGCAGCCTGGCCAATATGGTGAAACACTATCTCTACTAAAAATACAAAAATTAGCAGATCGTGGTGGTGTGTGCCTGTAATTCCAGCTACTTGGGAGGCAGAGGCTGGAGAATCATTTGAACCCGGGAGGTGGAGGTTGCAGTGAGCCGAGATTGAGCCATCGCACCCCAGAATGGGCGACAGCGGGAGACTACATCTCAAAACAAAAACAACAAAACAGCTGTATTTAGAGACACATGGTGACTAGCAGGAAAAGCCTTGACCGAAGAGTAGAAGTTCTGGGATTCTAGTGCTGACGAACATCTGTGTCACTTGTAACGAGGAGTGGGGACATTGAATTAGATAATAAAGGTTTCCAGTTCAATCTTCCCTTTCCTGGAGTGCAGTGGCTAACAGCATTGGCTGTAGACCCAGGCAGACACAGACACGGTTTCACTCAGAGTCGT